AGGGGAGTGGGGGCGATCAGTCGTCTGCGCGACATTGCCGAAATCCCAATTAGTGATATGTGGCCCTGCCCATTGAGGGGCTGCCTTTGAGATGTACGGCTGAGGCGAAATTTTCCGGTAAAAAAAAGTCCGAATTTATGATGGAAAGCTCAGAAATCCTGAAAAGGTTGGTAAGGTTAGGAAAAGGGCTGGGCGTTGTACCAGACAAGGAACTTGGGACCGTATTTTGTTTTTCGCAGAAACCTTTGTGAACAGCAGGATGTGGGGGGAGGGGAGCGGCGATGAGTCTCACGGTTCAGCTTAAATTCATAATCTCGCAATGGGCCTTGCGCAGTAAGCATTGCTTACTGCTACCTTTTTCAAAAGCCTTATAATTCGGTACTGATCTATCCCTCTTCAAGATATACCTCACATTAGACTTCTATTCAGGATTGTAGTGCTTTGAGTGGGGATTCAGTCAATACAGGGACCGTGGGGGCAGCCCCAGGACGATTAAAAAGAGAAAGTGGCCTACTAAATGTATCGTCAGGCAAGCGACCGTAAGGAACCCAAAAAAATAACTGGATTGAAGTAATGAAGTCCGCAGAAGATGCTTTGGAGAGGAGAAAGTTGTGATATCTGGACGAAACCGCGGACCCGCAGCGACATCGAAGTAAGATTAAGAGGAAGAAGAAAACTGATCCAAAATATCTAGTGACATATGACGTAAATAGTAAGCGCCGAGAAAGGTTTATTGCCGAAAAAGCAAACTTGTCCGCTCTGACGGCCTTACTGGTTGTACTGGTTGTCCGCTTGGAGTAGTTCAAAACCGCCCTCATTTTCGGCTTAGATGGCTGTATAGCCTGATTGCTACCAGTCAACAAAAGCCGATTTCACCTTTCTAAAGGAACGCTGAGAAAGTTCCCACGTTCTCTACGAGATCAGCGGCTTCAAGACTTCAATGTGATTTGATTCAATGAACATTTCAAGATCTTAAGCGAACAGGCTCGAATAAAGGTGCTGAACTTGTTGATTGCCCGGGGCTAAGGACAACTTATATATGAATCAGACTTCCCTAAGTAATGTCCATTATTTTTAAACTAGTTTTATTATAATGACAACGCCTCGTGCTACGAAGGTTATCACAAGAGCGCCGAGTTGAGAGACGGGCGATTCTATTGTGGATTGATGAGGTATGGTGCTCATCATTGCAGACCGGTGGGGCGGGTGAGCCGCGCGCGTGTGACTCGGCTGTGACGCGACTGTCATCGCTGCCGCGTCACAGCCGAGTCACACGCAGCGCGGCTCACCCGCCCCACCGGTCTGCAATGATGAGGACTGTATGTAATACAGCCATCGCCGCGCTCGGCCAAGCGCGCGACGAGTGGTGCGAGTTCCGCCATAGGTGAAAGCTTCTGCTCCATTCATGTGCATTCTTGTGAGTGTCTATCTTTATGTTTTTTTTTTCGTTTCGATAAAAACTGAAAAAGTGTCAAGCTTTGGCCGTTGATCTATGCTGCACATTCTCGGCTCTTTCCAGAACCAATCAACCTGCTCATCGGGCATTGATGCAATCCTAGGCTATTCGTTGACATACCGAAAGAAAGAGTAGAGAAAGAGAATGTAGAAAGGGGGCAAAAAAGACACTTTCGCTGATTCACATATCAGTAAAGTGTACGCAGCCCAGACAAAAGAAGTGCGGAAGATACCCAAGATGTTCCTCGATAAGCGGAAGCAGGCTCTCATACGTCACCTTCATGTACACCAAAACATGACGCCATCTCCAATCGCAGCTGAACTGAAGAAGGACTATGGGAATCGCGTCACCTCCAAACAACTGCGAAACTTGTATGGTGTCACCCATGGATAGCTACCTGGAGACCAGCACTCTTGATCTGGAAGACCTCCAACATCGAGCAGCTCCGACAACGTCGCTACGGTCTAGGACATCATCTTCACCGCAGTCGCCAAGGCGCGGGTTGATGGTATGGACCGGAAGTTCTGGAATGGAAAGACCGATATTTTCTTCGTAGACCCGACCAACTCGAGGAGAATATCCTGCCTTCATGTCGTCGCCTGTACCATCTTGGAAACTTCGTACTGCTACAGGATTGGGTGCCAGCATGTGGAATCAAAGGGCGTTGGAAAAACTCTTGCCTACTTGGAATGGGCGTTGAGTACCTCAAGAAGACGGAATATTAAAAACCCCCTCGATTACCAGGTTCGGGCGGAGCTCAACAGGGTGGTCTACAGTGGCGGAGAAATCAACGACCTCGCTGAACTCAGGCACCGAATCACGGTCGCGTGGCAGAATCTCTCGATGGCGTTCGTCCAGAAGGCTGTGGCGGAGTTTCGTGATCGTGTGCAATGCGTTGTTGAATTTTGATGGTGAAAATGTCCAATCAGAATTTAATAAAGTGTAACTTATATCGCCTTGAAAGTCAAGGAAGAAAAGTGTCTTTTTTGGCCCCCTTGTAGAGAACCCGTGCAGTGGTGATAGAATTGTTTCTTGTCACGCCACAGTTTCTGGAAAAAATAAAATTACGGAAGGTGGGGAACAGATGGACTGCTTGATAAACTCAGGCAGCCCTTTCGCAAAGCCATGGCCTTCTACATGGCTAAAAAGGTTAAGTTGATCAACCCCTTTCTTTATGCGGCACATATTCCACTTTCATTCAGAATCGTAGTGGCTGATTGAATGCTATATGGCCCACTCAATGACCGCGAGGGCCAACCGGCTTTGTACAACTTATTGCTGTAGTTCTCCTGATTCCATCCTATACTACAATTTTATCGTACGCCTGAGGATAGAGGCCTGGCTGGCCTGGTGCGCGGTACTGACTCCGCGCACCGCGCGCTTGAGAGTGCCTTTTTTCTCAGTCGCCACTATACGCTTGCTCTCACACAGGATTTCCGCGCACTCCAGTTGAATTGCTTGAAGTCATGCTACGTCACATGTGTTGGTGTGTAGTCGATAGGAAGATTGTATAGCCGGGATTGAGCCCAACTTCACAAGCGCAGCCCATCCGAATTCGGCGGTTCAGTCTTCTAAAAATAGAATAGGTGTTCATGCCCACGTGTGTGTTGAGAGTACAGCGACACGTAACACTAGTCCGTCTGCTGCATATTTCAATGAAGACGGTTCCTTTACAGCCTCGTAGACTGCCGTGTAGCTCACAATGCGTCTTGTCGTCGTCAGTTTGAGTGGCAATGATCAGATTTTCGCCTAATGAACTCTCGATGCAAGCGTGCGTTGAAGTAGACATCTCACTTCATGAGTTAAGTTTGTACGTACACCACCCGAGGATGATCCCTTTCATGAGCTTCAGTGGCATGGCACTGTCTGCGTTCGAAAATTCATGGGGACGGGGCTGGAGGGATCTCAGCGCGCACGTGTCTCCAGATGCAGCGCTCGTGTCGATACAATCCTGTCAGTCAGAGGTAAAGAACAACCAGAAGAAGGAGGGTGCAGAGGGGGGGGGTGCTTGACTTATGGTTAGGCAGTAAGCATACAGAGTAACACTCAGGTACTACCTCTATCCGCCCTTATCGGGCCTTTTGAGCGGAGACGAGCGGCCGCCACTCACCTAGCTTGCACGGGAAGGACGCACCCTTAGAGTGAGTGTCATAACTTGTCTTAATCTTTCACCGGGCTTAACGTGGCAGCTTGCTGCCTCCTCCTGAGATTAGTAGAGCTCTGTAGCGGTCCCCAATCGCGATTGTGTCCTGTCAGATCCGCGCAGTCTCGCCTTTAACAGACCGTGCCTGTGCTGTTTGAGAGACAGAGGGATGTAATTTCCCTGCGGATACGTGCTAGACAAGGGAGGTAATTCAGAAGGTCTTCTCCACTCTTATCTCTTCAGTCTTTCTCGTAAAACAAAACGTTGTTTGGGCAAAATGGGAGGTCCAAACTACGCCCCAGCAGTGTGCGAAAATCTAGTTTTCCCTAGAATTCCATTCTGTTTCGCGTTTATGCAGACCCCTCTCACCAATCCTAATACAACCCCCAACCCGGCCCTTTTCAGTGGGAACTCTCCAACCAGCTCTGTTGAAAGGGTCATTTTGAGCCTCTGCGCGTTGTCATCAGGGCACGTCGTAGATCGTAGATTTCAGCGAGAGGGGGGGCGTATTGTGACTTGAAGAATTCTTCGGTTGTTTACTTCTGCGGTTTTTCCTCTCTCAAGGCAGCATGCGCTGCGAAGTCATCTCCCCCCCCCTCGTTATCAAGCAGCGCCTGATTGAGGAATTCCCACCTAAGGGCAGTTTTTGGAGGATAGTGGATAGGAATTTTCCGGAAACGTGAAAAACTAAGGCCGTGGAACAATGGGGAGAGGGTCTAAATCTTGGAGGGGGAGGGCCGTATTTTTCGAAAATTTCCCCCAACGGCCCCGGTGCTCTGCTTGCCACATGTGGTATACTGTACTCCAATAAATATTTCGCAGTGAATTTATTCAGCAACTTAGGCAGACACAATCTGACAGTGATGCGTATTTTAACAAATCGTAAACGAAGGCACTCAGGGCAAAGAGACACCAAGAGTTAAGGCACAAACTGACTAGAGATTTAGAGAAAGGTACCTAGGGTACTGAGCAGGGATTTATTACAACAACTTGGGGAAACAAACAAGGTAAATATGAAATAAAGCCTTGAGTCACCTAAAGTCATTCACACCGATCAAATATTTACAACAACGAAAGCAAATAGAATTGTGCTAGATGTATGCGGAGGTTCACAAATACCTCATACGACGTAATAAATACAAACAATGAAAGCAGATTTACGATGTAATACTTCGTGAAGACTGCGTTGGTAACTAACTGTGGGCGTTTGTAGTCGGCGGTTATCGGCCTGTAAATCAATAATCGATTGGTTAGTCGTGGAAGAGTTACTGTAGCAAGCAGATAGAAAGAGGGAAAGATCAAGAAGTGGGGGAAAGACCTTGAGCTCAGTTAAGGACGAAATGGAACTGCAATCGATAAGTGATGGAAGTAATTACTGGATAGGAAAGAGGTGGCGCTGGTTCATCGTTTATCAAATATGAAATTTGAAGAGAACTCACTGAGGATAAGACGAGCTTTACACTGGGCGGCTCCTTTTGGATTTCGAATCACGATCTGGTAATCGCCGGCGTGATTGTGCGTTACTCGGGCGATCTCCAGTACCGCTCGTTTCCCTTCGAGTGTCATCTGAAACAGGAACACAGTAACCAAGGTATACTTTGTGAGGAAACCATGTCCTGGTTCCAGCTGCAGCCCCTGCTAGATCATTTCAGCCTAAGAAGATTCAGATGAAAATCACTGAGCGTGCTTAGGCTGCGTTCAGACTTTGCGGCAGCTCATACCTTGCGACAGCGTCTACCAGCGTCCAGCAGCGTCCACCTGCGACCACGAGCCAGCAGGAGTATGGTATTGTGTAGTGTATAGTGCGGTTGCACAAGCCACAATTTCACGACCCCTAATGCTGTCTCCTTCCTCCTACTTCCCCATACGCCCTACTCCTGGTCGATGGTGTTCGCTGATAAACGCTAGATCGATATCTATACTTCCTAGTCCCTCGATACGCTGATGGACGCTGGCAGACGCTCTAAGACGCTGCCGCAAAGTATGAACGCAGCCTTACTGCGTTTCTAGACATGCACTATCCATCCCAAAGCATTAGTGGCTAACCCGCAATCGACACTGCTTTTAATCCAGGATTAGGGAATCCAAAGTAACGAACATCAGCTAGCAAATGTCTATTACTTGACTCGATGCACCATAGCATCAAGCACCTATTTGTGCTCCGTGCTCCTCGCACGTGGTGCCGCCTCTTTCGCTGTGTCGTCGCAACATGGATCTCTTGTCCCATGTCCCAGTATTTCACTGGAATGCCTTTGAAACGCGCTATGTTCCTTGAGCCCCAGTCTCTTGGTCATCCTCTTTTCTTCCGCGTAAGCACTGTGAAGTGCAAAAGACAGCCGTTTAAGGTCGTAGTTCCGGCTTAACAGGGGGCTTTTAGCTTTTACTACCTACCCTCGATCACGTGGCGATGCTTCTGAGAGGAGACCAGTAAATTCTTGGAAAGCTAATCCGTAAGTATGTATGGGTTTTTGTGTAACAAATATATATGAGCTCTGTACACACAAGAACAAGAATCTACAAGTCTCACAAGATCGAGACGTGTAATTTCAAGCACGAACGTAGCGAGAGAATTGCGCAAAATGCCCCCTTCTAGCCGAACAACGCCACTAAAAAAGCATAAAATGGTCAATCACATTGGCCACCGTGCTAGGTGAATGGTTGCACGCCCGCATTATATGCAAGATTCACTTCGAAGATTCGTGCTTCTGCGAAGTCAGCAGCAAGAAACTATACTCTAATCATGCCATGCATTGTTGCTGTGGTTGCAAGCATTCCTAATCGAAAGCACCTCGATTTTTCCTTGTTTGACGAATTACATCCGATAATCAACCAATGGATTCAAGCTTAAACACATTGGCGACCCAGGGTAAACATTGGGCGAAGCGCAGTTAAGGTGATCCACGGACTCGGTGATCTATAAGTCGGCTAAGCCAAGCGACGCCGCACACGTGCCGCGCGACCGCACGCCGCAAGGCGGGCAAATTCCCGATGCAGTTATCCGTACTCCGAGTTGTCATCGGAAGCAAAGGGAAGCGCTGTTTTCACGGCGCTCGCTTTAGCAACGCTCCGATCTTCTTGGAATAAATTATGAACTTTTAATAAATTTTTTCGTTCAAACAACTTCAGCAGCTACTACTGGCACCTGGGAACCTTGAAGGAACAATCGGAATGATTCTGAAACGAAAGGTGCCAGCAGTCGATTCATAAAAGTGCTTCTGGTGTCGAGTGTGGCAACACCCATGTGCTACCTTTCTTTCTATTCTATTCCTCTCTTTTTCCATCGCAACGTTTGCATAGGCGTCCGAAAGGAGACTGTTCTTAGCACCTTCAATTCACTAGGCTTCTATTTCGTTGAACCTGGCTTATGAGTGCGGGATTTCGTTAAGTAGCAAACGGTCTTTCATTGAGGGCCGCTCTCAGTACCGCCTGATGTTCTTCGGCGATCTTTAACATGTGAATTTAGGCCTCTCAGATCCATTATGTGGGAGCATGCGCCTTTTTGCTTATCTGGTGTGTTTTCTACCGAAAATTTGTTATGCAAGATTCTTCCAGGGTAAAACAAAGGACTAACAACCACTTGACATAAAATGAAAACACTGACTATTGAGATTTTGTTGCTTGGCGCGCAAATTATTAAAGGGATCATCGGCCCTTTAACAATTTGAACGCCACGCAACAAAACGTACGTACGCGGCGGCCGGCCAGCCATTCGCTCCTCCCACTGCGGCGCACGACGCCCAACTGATAGAATGACCACAACACACCGGGACCACGTTCCGGTCAAAGAAGTCGGCTGACGTGGTGGCGGGGGGGGGGTGCGCAATTTCTGCACTTCCGTTGCTTCAGCGATAGTTCCCGGGTTTACAAGTCTCATTCTTGAAATCCTGTGAACTCTTGTGAAGCTGGAGCAAGCTCGTCAAGCCATCATGGTAAAACCTGTCAACTCGAGAAGAGGCTGTCTAGATGGGTCGACACGTCGATGGGAAGTAGCAAAAGTGCAAAATGCCCCCCTCCCCGTCGCCGAATGCGGCTCCGGAAACTAAAAATGTCGTTCCGGGTGCGGGCATTGCCTCGAGACCTCTGATTTTGCAAGCAAGGGTTACAGTACCGAGAGCTAGTATGTAGTTTGTGCTCCTCGCCTCAGGGTTAATCTATCCAACCAACAATTCACTGCTTGCGAATGAAGCCCGCTTGAACTTTTTGCCTTGAGTCTGCCGCAAAGGAACAGAACGTTGGTGTAGTTAAGAAGACAAAGTTCATGCAATGAGTAAACTATACAAGAGCCAATTTAGCTGTTTTGTCAAAGACTTCTCACTGTTATCGGAAATGCGTCTCATATCAGGCCAGAAGCAATACTGGGTAAGTAAGGATTCTGGAACTGTAAGGTCTGCGTATTGCACAGCAGCCACACCCAAACCGTCTCTGCTAATTCAGTAGTTGGGAAAAGCTTGAGCAATAAGAGATCACGGCGTAGTTCAGCTTTGAGGGGGCATTTGCACTTTCCCTTCTTCCTATCGACAGTTCATTGCTTTACAGGAGTTAACAGGTATTCTTTACAAGAGTTGACTAGTGGTCTCTACAAAATTTGACTGGTATCGCTTCATGATTTCACAGAATTTCACAGGCCTCCTCCTTATGGCTTAACCGTCGATGGAAATAAATGAAAGAGCAAAATGCCCCCAGAGCTTGACTGCGCCCAAATTTTAGCCCTTGACCCTTTAGACGGGTCTGACTCGCATCCCTTACGGTTAATGAGGCATACATACTGCCCTTCAAGTCGCTTTCTCCGTCTTAACCCTCTTGGGTGAAGCAGTTGTCATGAAGTAGCTACGATAGCTACAGCTCCTAAGTGGTAGAAAATCCAAAGACACATTCCGCGATGATCACATGGGCGGGGACATCAATATTATGCCTCCTTCATAAATGGACAAAGAATAGGTGCGAACGAATGAGAAAGGAAAATGGATCTATCTGTGCTCATGCGATTATTGAGAGATTGCCTTGAGAACCTTTCCAAGAAAAATTCTTAGCCACGCTGCATTCCCACATGGGGACGCGATGTCGCCAATGTGTTAATGAACTCACATGCATTTTTCAGGTTTCAAAAACACCTTCAGAAAGAGTCGGAGAAAATCGTCGAACCTTGATATCTTTTGATGCTGCCAGAGGTTTTCCATTGTACAGCCATTCGGCCGTGGGCATGGGATTACCATCTATGTCGCAGGCGAATTTGACGGTGTGACCTAAAGGTGAGACTCACTTGTACCTCACGCACACCCACGGTGCTTCTTACAGACACCCTCGCTCTTACAACCAGTACTACTCACCTTGACGGGCAGTAATGTCACTGAATCGCGACACGAAGTGTGGGGCGTCCGAAGCAGGCTTGTCGTCGTAAGCTACCATTCCACCCCTTGTTATGGTTGTCTTCGCGATGCGGCCAACTTTTGCTGTAATACCTCTGCTATACTTCATCACATCCACGGTACAGCATCGTCGTGCGAAACCCACTGGGGGGGGGGTCGTACTTGGCCCCGGGGGTCTTAAACCCAGGGTCGGTGAGCATTAAACAGCACAAAAGTGTCATCGCTAAGTTTGATGGAGCGGACGGAAAGCTGCAGAATACCCGGATGAAGACTACAAAATATTAAAACAATTGATTAGCAATATCAATAGTTAGCATGAACTCGTAAGTACGTAGATGACTAAATAATACATCTCAAACAGATTCGTGCGTATCGACCTTTCCAAACCCTAAACAAACATCTGCTTGCATGGACAAAAGCACCTAAAATCAG